CCTCACTCTTGGGGCATGCTCACTCCATGAGGGGCAACGATCGCCATCAACTCACGCCATAATCCCGACCGGAGGTTTTTGCATCCCTGAAGGCGTCAAGTAGGATGAGGACGAAAAAGCAAAAAAGCAACCACCGCTTTCAACATGAGAGAGGTTGTCCCCTTTTCTCAAAGAACCACTGACGAAACGGCCCTCGGATGGCTTTGTCTGGGAGGGTAATTAAGACTTGGCGGGTGAACTTGAGAGATCGTCAAGCCTCTACCATTGGGAGCCTGCATTACCACTACTGGCGAAAACCACAAAACGTGGGTGTAAAGCGCCGACGCGTGGTGTGCACGCAGTGGCGCATGCATTATTCGGGATTGATTGGGCCATCTCGCATTGGCAACAGCCTCATGATCTCGGCTCAGCTAAAGGTTGATGTGGGATCGTCACAGCATCTCCTTCGACCGGAGGAACTCAAATAACAGCTTCTTCGTGGAGAGAGTTGTTCGGTTGGATTTCTGGGATGTTCTAGCTCTTTCAGTTTTAGGACTTTGAGAAAGCAAGCCAATGCTGGAAATAATTTCGAGCTAGAAGCTAAGTATTCGAAGATAGGCAGACAGGATACCGTTCGAGGACTGATGATAGTTGGGAGCTGTGCATAAGGTAGCGAGATGGAGAGGAGAAGGAGGAGGTTTGCTGGTAGGCATGCCCTGGGCCAGAGACGGTCCATTCGGTCCGTCCCCCATATCCTTGTCGGACCCCTTCTTTGTCTGCAGCCCCGGGAGTGACCCCCAAGGGGTTTTCAGGGTTCTGGAGAGCGTGCGACAAGTTCATCATTATGACCGCGAATACGGAGTATGGGTGTGGCAACCCCCGCGCGTGTCCGATCTGGATTCTGTCAAACACCAGCGAGATCGTGTCACTGCGGCCCTTTCGGGTGGTTCGCGAGGGGTCAGCCACCCGCCTCGTCTAGACCGACACACCGATCATCTCAGCCAAATAGATATATGCGGCCGGTGTCTCGGCCGCGCAACTTTCTGGATACGTCGGCGGCTTTTATGATGGTGCACTCCCGTCCAGCTAATAGAACGTTGGGATTCATGACCATTCGAAGAGTCGTAAAGAATATCCGAAAACCCGTCTACTATGTAAGTACCTTACCCTAACTGTGTAAGATACTTACCCAATCTACCTACCTTAGGTAGGCCATTTCAGATTCCGACGACAGAGGCCAAATTTGATTCGACCGACGTGGCCAGGTTTAATACCTTTGGACAACAGCTTGACTCGAAAACAAGCAAAGTAATCTTTGCTTTGAGAATCGGAAAGCAGTGATCGCATTTGTTCATGATTTGACAGGGATCTTGCCAACATCAATGTCTTGCCCTGGTATTATCCAGCAGTAAATTGTGGTGTAAGATACCTACTGCACAGTAAGCACCTAAGGTACCTACCTACCTTACCTTAGGTACCTGAGTTGAGGTAAATCTCGATAAGAATCGATAAGAGCCGATTAGATAAGACACCCATTTGTCAATGCATCTCCCCTCCAGAACATAACGATCGCAAAGCTCAAGCTTCACCAACACCAGCAATGTGACCGAAGCTCGGGGGAATGACGCCTCCCTTTCCGCGAGGATGCCATCTCACTTCGTACCAGCTCAGAACTCCCGCCATCGTATCGCCGCAATCGCCTTATATCGTGCTCTCGTCCGCGAGGCTCGCGCCGTGCCACTCCCCAACGATGTACTCCGCAAGGGTGTCGAGAACCCGCTGCCACGGCTCGTGAAGAAAGGCTTCAAGCGCAATCAGACGGAAGCGAGCTACCGTCTTGTCCTTGCTGCGCTATCGAAGGGGTACAAGGTGCGATACTCCTGTACTTTGCTCGCAGCGCCTTCTAGTACTGACAGTACTCCAATTCAAGTTTCTCAACCTCTTCAAAGGCGCCCAGACCCCATCGTCAAAAGAGCACTCCGAAATCCTTACGTACCTCCGCGAAAAGAGCCTTCGTGATGCAAGATCAGAAGCAGGCAAACCAACATCGCCACCGCCGAAAATCGAGCCTCCAAAGCCCAAATGGCCACCCCTGCTCAAGCGCATTTCCCCCCTCGACGAACCACCCGTCTACATCTCCGAGCGCCACCCTGTGCCTCGCGGGGACCTCTCCGGCATACGGCACGTCCCTAACGTCGCAGTGACCGCACATGGCGTCGTCTTTCTACGCCAGGGCAAGCCGCAGCACCGCTCCGTATGCGACTATGTCCAGAAGAAGAACAAATACAAGATTAAGAACATGGAACATCTGCTCGGCTCGATGCGCGATGAACAGCAGTTTGCGAAGGAAGAGGATCAGTGGGATGGGCATCTCCAGGCCGAGATCAAATCTCAAAAGAGGGTGGTGGAAAGGCTGGTCAGGTTGCGGCAGAGAATCGAGCAGCCCCTTGCAGACCTTCCTGACTGGGTTGAAAAACCAAGTTACGAAAGGGTAGGGACTGTCGAGCCCTATGTCTTTGAAGAGAGTTACACCAGCAGTGTAGCTGCTACATTTGATGATGCCAGCAGGAGACTGAGCGACGATGCGGCGGATCAGTCTGCGAGAGCAAGGGCGTTTCTAGCCATCCGCGAGGCGGAAAAGAAGGCGTTGGAGGAAGACAACGAGTATTACCGGGAAAAGGGCTATAAGTGGATGATTGACACACCATATAAGAAGAAACAGAGACGGGTCGCAAAGCGCAAGAAGGGCGGTCAGGACAGATTTGAACGCAGGGCGGTACGGCAGGACAAAGCGCGAAAGAGCAATTTTGTCGGCCTCAGTCCTGCTCCCATCCAGGTTTAAGTCGCTTTCCCCTGGAAGAAACCAGTTTGTATTGATACTGTACTATACCTTTAGACATTTCCCATGATACCAATACAGAATGGTGCGGCATGTGATGGCTACGCGACATCGGTACCATGTTAAAACCATGTCAAAGGGCGCACACTCCATCTTCAATGGACCTCCTTGCCTCTTCGCTCTTTTCCCAATATACGATTTCTTCTCTTGAGCCTTCACTGAGGCGTCTTCGTCTATCAATCCTGTTGTACACCGTAGTCGGCCACATTGCTCGCCAAAGTGGTTATAGAAGAAACCCCTCACCTTGATGCCTAGTCGGCCCAGAGCCACACCACTTAGGTTCAGCCTTCAACTTCAAAGAAGTTTGCGAACTAAAGGGTACCGATGAAATGTTTGAGTCACACAACTCAAAGGGTAGGCTTAACCACAAATCTGGGCGTCTGCAGGTAGGCAACGGGTAGGCTTCAGCCATAACTATATCCATGGGTTTACCTATAAAGACAACTCTTCCCCCCGGTTGTTCCTCTCCCCCCTCTCAGAGTATTGCACACAGAAACAACACCCAGTACACAAACATTACAACCACCAATATAATCAGTCTTGACGCAAACATGGACGAACAGACACCTCACACGTTCGAGTTCACAATCGCGCACTCGACGCTGCCACTTGAAGCCATCGGCAAGGGCTTCTGTGGCTCTGTGTGGTCCGCGGGCAACCTCGCTATCAAGCGCGAGGATGGCGGCCCAGGTCGTTCCATCGCAAACGAATACACGATGCATCGCCACATTATCCGAAGCTTGGATAGTACCAATAGAGTCCACCTCAATGTGCCTCACTGTGAAGGCTTCCTCAGACACGATGCGACTGCCTGGGATCAAATGCTCCCTAGATTTCCTGCGGGATACACGGGTTGCAACGCACTCATCAGCGAGAAGATTCCACCACTATCTCGCGATGTTCGCAAGCTGTTGGCCCATAAGTTTCACCCAAACGTGGATGTGGATGAGATTGCCGACAGCCCGACCAATAGCCACTGTCTCGCTCGACCTTACTTGGGGCGCAGAAAGCTTCGGAATACAGACACCAATCAAGATAGACCTAGACTTAGATTCTTCAGTCTGAGGAACTTCCCACTTCACGCGGATCAGATGGAGACTCTCAACCTGGATCTTGAAGGGTACGCCGTAGCAATGGCAAAGGCTCTCGCATTCCTGCACTGGTCCGCAAAAGTCGATGCCAATGACGTTGAGTTTGTGTTCGCAAACCCAAGGACTTGCCAATCGCCACCCTGCGAAGCCCCCACGACATCAAGCTTGGGTCCTGTAGGCTTCCGTTCAGATGAGTTTGGCTCTCATGCTATGTGGATCCTGGACTTTGATTGTTGCAGGATGATGGCAATGGACGACAACGGAATCAAGCAAGCTTGTAGAAGCTTTTGGCGGAACGACCCTTACTATCCGCGACCTGGTAGCAACAACGCAAAGGATCAGGAACTCTGGACTGCCTTCCGGACTCACTTCCTGATGGCTAGTGAGCGAATTTTGGAGGGCGAGGAGGAAGATTTGCGTCGGCTGCCGCTGAGATTGATGGAGTGTATCGAGGAGACAAAGGGAAGGTTCACCAAGGGAACAGATTTCTGGTAGGATGGGCTAGGAGGACCTAGCAGCATAGTCGTGTGTGAATCCAGAGATTCAGTAAGTATTTACTGCCTCTAGTACTCCAGGTGCTGGATAGAATTTGTTTGCCGTTTCTAAGCTTTCTTTCTGTCGGCTACACACTGCCTATCACACACTACGTGACGTCAAACATTCCGTTGCAGAATCATTGCAAGGTTGGCTCATCAATGATTCTGCAACCAACCTGCGGTTCTTAGGCTGAACCAAGCACAGAGCTGAGGAATCAAAGTTGCCGAAAGAAAACTTCAAGAAGTTTGACTTCTTTGCATGGGGTTCTCTCTTCACCATGAGGCCTTTACCGGCGTACTTTGTCAGATTACCATGTACTTAAAGAATGGACTATATTCTCTGGTGATTGTCGCTGATTCTGATTCTTTATTCCACCATCAGTTGCCGGGTTCTCCTACTTACTGAAGTATAGCACTTTGTCAGTAGTTAAGCAGCACTGGCTGCGGTTTTATCGACTCAGATATCTTGGGATCACCTCAACCTCCTTCGCGAAGATGGACGATCCTTCGATACAAGGCTCTTCCCGCCTACCTAAGGCCTTCGAGAAGCGTCGCCCACAGAATCAGTCGGACGAGACTGCGGCTTCTTCGAGAGCTGTCTCCTTGGAACAGGCCATTATAGCTAACCTTCACCTAGAAGAAAGGCTTGAAGCTGAAACTCAAGGAGAAACAATCGAGGTCTGTCTCAAGCGAATGCTTTCAACCAAGTCAACAATCTCCACGGCTTCGTCTTTTGCGAAGCGTCAGCAAGCAGCAGTTGACGTTGCTGCAAACTTCCGGGAGATCGGTACCGGCTCCATCGGCAAAGTGTTCGAGCATCCAGGCACCACGTTCGCCTACAAGCTGCCTCTCACGGAGTAGGATGATAAGTTGTGGAACGAATACATCATGCACAAGCGAATTGAGACCGCGTTCAATTCGATTAAGTTCTATCCTGGACAGGTTGAAATTCCAAGATGTTTCTAGTTCGACACGCCGACCTCTCACAGCTTTTGGGAGGAGAATCTTGAACTGTTTCCAGATATATCTGGATCCCCCCGCGAGACCAATCACATTCTCTGTATGGAAAGGATCTTCCCTCTTCCGAAGCCCGTTCGTCACTGTCTAATTGAGAAGTTCTGTCCGCCTCAAGGACGAGAGCAGTTGATGAAGAGCGAGGCCAACAAGGACTGCTTAGTGCGACCGTATCTCGGCCGCATCAAGTATGGTACGGGCGGCCAGTTCTTCTCTCTGCGAAACTTCAAGCTTCACGCCAACCAGATCAAGGACCTGGAAATGAAGCCAGCCGACCTGTATCTGGGGATGGCTCATGCTCTTGCCGTTATGCATTGGGTAGCTAAGATTGACGGCAACGATGTTGAGTTCGTCATCGGAAGTTCTCCAGTGGCGGAGCAGGTTGTTCGCACTGACTACCTTCTTGTCGATATATTGGCCCTGAAGCCAATGACCAGCACGTACGAACTTCTGACGCACAAACCCCCTGACTTTGGCCGAAGAGTCACCTCATTGTGGATGATTGACTTCGATGACTGCCATGATATCACCATGGATGACGCGGGCATTGACAAGGCAGTCAAGGCGTTCATCGAGACCAATCACTACTGTCCCCGGCCGAATTCAGGAGACAATTACATCGAGACCATGTGGAAAGATTTCTCAAGCATGTACTTGTCTTTCAGTAGCACCATCATGACGAAGCTGGGCAAGAAGAATGAGCTGGGAAACCTTCCGGCCAAGTTCGTCGAGAGACTCAAGGTGGCATCGATCGGATCTCAACCGCCCAACCCTGGCGCTTCTCCCCAAGCAAAGGACCGAGGAGGCACTTCCGGTTCCAGCTCTTCAGCCGGCCGCGGTGGCTCTTCCGGTGGCAATACTCCTTCTCGTGGCCGCGGCGGCATTCATGACAGATTAAGAAGCACAAAGCCAGAGATTTTCCACGGGTTGAAGTGAAGGATTTCTTCTACTTTTACTCCATGCGCTTACACACATTAGTCTCATTTTACTTGAGAATTGAGTTTGACTCAAAAGTGAAGACAACGATGGCAGCAGTCGACGTCCAGTGAATCTCCATGTCCTTCCTTCCCGATCAGTGGTGATCCCGTCTTCGCGGCTGCGCCTGCGTACCAGCTTTACATTGGCGCACAACAAGGCTTATTCTTCCAGGCTTTCTTCTTGAGCAGGCCCTTGTGTGTTTTTATCTTCCTCCATTACATCCACGTCATCAATCGCCATCACTACTCCGAGCTACAGTGCGAGTGACAAACGCGCCGCAGACAGCTGGTACACCACTCAATCCATCAGCCGCAACAATATTAGATTGGAAAACCATCTCCCCGATGCGATACTTGCTACTACAGGCACTATTTTTTCCATGAATCAGGCTGCTTGACCTCATACGTAACGATCGAGTCCCGCATCCTTACGGATTGTTGACGACTGCAAGTAAAATATTGTGCAACGGGTACCGCTGATCCAACGACTATCACCATTTCTTCGAATACCAAGGCCAGCCTTCGATCGCCCTAGAACTTCAGATCACGCATTCCGCCTCGACGATCGCTACAGATATCTTGTAAGTTTGTCCAAATCTTGAGCAACATCACAATTTTGATTGAAGCTAATCAATGTTCCAGTTTTGCCAACCTACCATTTTGAAAAATTCCTTGGCCCGATAGAATGAATAACAACGCCCAGCATCCCGTGCTGGATAAGCCGTTTCAAACGCCTGCACTTGAACTCGAGCAGTCACAAGACCTTAACAGCCCCAGAGAACACGAGAATAGAGGACCCTCATCCAGATGGAGTATCTTTCCGCAAGAGATTCGATTAATGATCCTCGAGATCATCTTTGCGATGCAGTCCAAAGACACGCCGCAGGAGAAAAGCCGTCTAGCCTCCGTTTCTGCAGAATGGCAAACATTTTTCGAGAAGCGCAACTTCAAGAGTCTAAAACTTGAGCGGCTCCACGATATAGACAAACTCAGAGACTTCGTCGGTCCTCGTCGTCAGATGTACGTCAGTCAGATCTGGCTCCATGTGTCCTTAGCGACATATACTTCCGAAGAGTTCTGCAAGGAAGAGGACGACGAAGAGATATTGCACAACAATGGGATTTTTGACAAGCACTTCAAGTCACTTCTTAGAACGCTTTCGAAATGGCAACTAGGCTACGGCGACGAAGATCACTTCGGCATTCACCTTCACTTCTTTGCCGACTCGCCCGAGGACGATTACCACCCATTCAAGGGGGATGATGATCCCGATGAACCCTATGATAATCTTGAGCCCGCTGACCTCTTGGGAGCACGGAAGCGTCTCATGGGAAATTTGCTCGACTTTAAAAATGCAACCCCCACGTCGAGCTTGACAAGCCTGGCTGAAACTGGGTGCCCTGTGGTTCCGAGGGTTCCAGTAGTCAAAAAGTTCAGCGTTACAGACGTATGCTATCGAAGTCTATCAGCAGACGCCATTCGTTTTCTTCTTCTGAGCTTGGATAATCTGGAAATCATTGAGTACGAACCTTGGCGGGGCATTGACCAGATAGACAGATCCCGGAGAGACAAGGCAAATATGGCTCTACTTGAAAGTCTTCCACCTACTGTAAAGAGAGTCAAGTTATGGGAGGCTCGGCATGACAACTTACATGAGCCTTCCGAAGACCCCGGTCCTAACCGCGATATTGCTCGGGCGGCTGCACTGGGATGCTCTCGCCTAGTTTCTTTCAGCTCTCTGAATGTTCTCGACGCCGCGCATTTCCTCGATGAAGTTATTCAATTATCCATGCCGCCGATGATGGAGTGTTTCGACCGCTGGTCATCTCTCGAAGCGGTAGCTCTCACGTCTCCCCTCCTCGATTCAACTCTCGACGAGGCATACACCCAAGGTCTACTTCAACGAGCTGCTGCGGCCGCAATGCACTTGCCAAATCTCAAGGTCATGGAACTGTGGAAGACCTGGAAGAATGATGCGATTCTGTTCCGTTACGAAGTATCGGGTCACACAGTCGAGATCTCTCACGGTGCATCATGGGATTTTAAGCTGTGTCAGGATGTTTTGAATGCATGGGAGGGGGTGGCAAAACATCATGGAAACCTCTTCTTTGACATTCAGCTCAAGGTACTCGACATTCTTGCCAGTGCCATCATCTATGACACGCTCCGTGTCAATTCTTGGTAGTGGCAGAGCATCTGTTCATTCTTCTATCAGTCTAATCTCATCTACGAAGCATAGCTTCGTTGTAATGCTACGCTCGGTAGCCAGTAAACGGCTTCCAGGCTACTAGCTTTATAAAATCTTGACTGAGCCGCCATTGGCTGCAATGACACTTCCATTGATCCAGCGCGCCGCCTCGCTTACGACCAGACCCACGACTTTGGCAACATCATCTGGAAGTCCGACTCCGTTATGGATTGACTTTCCCTCGCCCAGAACCTTCAATGCGGCTTCGCGCATATCCGGCGGCGCACTCCCAGTGAGCGCATCAGTCGCCGTACCACCCACTGAGAGGGAGTTCACCGTAGTTCCCAGCGTCGTTGTGTCCTGGCTCAAAATATCCGCCCAAGATCGGGTCAGAGATTCCATTGCTGATTTGGTCGATGCGTACAACATGGCACTTGTAAAGTTAATATCAACACAGGAATCCGAGATCGCTAAGGTCTTCTTGTTTGACTGTAACTTACTACGATGCTGCTGCGGTACGAGCCCAATCGCTTGAGATATTGACAACGCGGGATTCCGGCTGGATGTAGTCTCGTCTGAGAAGCACGTCCATCGTCAGCGCCAAAGACTGTACATTGCCCAGCAAGACCCTCTGGATGAATTCAGCATCAAGTTGACGGACTGGCCGCGCCTCAAAGTGGGTTGCGTTGTTGATAATGATGTTGAGTTTGCCATCGAACTCATCCTGGACTTTGTTGGCAATCGTCTCGGCCAAGTCTGGCGAAAGAAGATTGGCAACCAATCCCGTGACTCTTGGGGCGCCGAACGGACTTGAGTGGTATCCCTGTTGAACGGTCTTTTCGAGAGATTCGAATAGGTTGAGTGATTCAGTGGATGCACAGGTACCAAGAACGTTTGCTCCACGACTGGCAAGGTGAATAGCTATGGCGCGGCCAATACCGCGGGAAGCACCTCTGTCGCCATCATTAGCAACCTCCTAGGCCGTCCATAGGGAAATCCGCAATGACTCATAAAAACGAATCACAAGAGGGCACTGAAGCTTACGTTACCAGGGCATTCTGACCTCGGAGATCCTGAGGGAGGAGACTCATCTCCTTGCTAGTTTGGGGCGCTGTGGTGCTCATCTTGGCAACTCTCATGTTTGGTTGGTCGGAGCTTCGGTGCTGTGATACCTGACGAATACTTTTCGGAGGACAAAGATGCCTTCAGGTACCAATAGAACCATAATTATAGATTTCTTCGCCTTAGCATTCAAAGACAGCTTACAAACAGAGCAGTTGACTATCTGACACTTACAAATCCGACAACCTTCTTCGCTATTCCAGCGGACAACGAAGTCGCGAGAGAACCACTCAACGGCTCATAATGCAAGAGCTCCAAAACTCATCTATGGGGCTACGTATCATGATTGCTGACTATTTTGCAGATTTGTATTTACATCTACTCGTGGTTCGTCTGATGACGTCCGTTCCGCTTAGTAGCCGAATCGGGCCGTCACGGACTTCAATAAACAATTGAGCCGAGCCATCGTAAGTTCACTACCCAAGTTACACCAAAGACGGCAAAATCTCTCCATTGGATCTGAGATACTAGGTAGAATAACGTGATGTTTCCGCGATCCCCGTAGCGGCAACACTTGTTCCAAAATCCGAGTCTTTCCATCGTAACCCGAGACCCCGTCGACGCTGTACGGACACCCCCATCGGGTTCTCGTCACCCTAGCGAATAAAAACATCATATTAGATTCATACACCTTAAGGGTCCAAAACATTGGACGCTCGAATAGACTGTGCAGATGTCATTCTCCCAAAGTTCTTCCCTGTCGTGTTCCATCCGGGGAATCTTAGGCTTAAAACCGAGACGCGAAAGGGAAAAGCTTTGGTACTATCTAATTGATGCAAGTTTTTGCATGACATCAGAAATGTATATATAGTTTCCCGGTTCTTCGTATCAAAAGAGAACGATATCCCCCCATTCGACTTGAAGATTATCAAGCATCATCCTCCATTGCCAACACCACCATGTCTCATGAGACTCAATCATCAACGCTCGCTGCATTGCAGCCTGTGACCCAGAAGTTGAGCCAGGGGTCAGTCATCACACCGGATGATCCGTCATACAAGCTTCACTCGGAGCCGTTTGCCATTCAGAAGCAGCTTTACCCGTCAGTGGTTCTCATTCCAAGCACCATCGAAGAGCTGTCCTCTATCGTGCGGTTTTTGTACTCCTCGAGCTTGGAATTTGCAATCCGCGGTCATGGATTCAAATCGCCTTCCGCCAAAGACGTGATCGTTAGCATGCTGAACTTCAAGAGCCTGGAATATGACTCGACCAAAAAGATTGCTACGGTTGGTGCGAGTGCAACTTGGGAAGAAGTAGTAGGGTTCATGGAACAAGTTGACCCCGATTACTCAGGTGATACAATTGTGTGTAACCCACAGCACTATCCAAGCTAACTAGATCCAGTTCCTGCAGCCCGTACACCTAGCATCGGAGTCACGGGATCTATCCTCAATGGCGGCCTTTCCTGGATGTCCTCCGAGTACGGCGGCATCAGCGATCCTGTCAACTTCCTAGATGCAGAAGTAGTCAAGTTTGATGGCACTGTTGTCATGGCATCTCAGGAGTCGGGTCTTCTCTGGTCCCTGCGCGGCGGCGGCGGCGGCTTTGGTAGTAAGTACAAGTTCTAGCTCGTCTTGAGACTTTTGATCATCTCAGCTAACAGAAAACCAGTCATTACCAAAGTTCTTCTTCGGGCGCATCCGTATCCAACTGAAATCTGGTCGGGCATTGTGCTCCTACCTCGTCACCTCTTAGCGCAGATGATTGATGAGGTGGTCAAGTTCAATCACTCTACGCCCCATCCGAAGGTCAACTACTTCATGTACTTGATGCCACAGCAACTCTTGCATACCGTTCTGGAGAAGCCTGAGCCCGATCTGGGTGACACGGTAATCTTCCACTTGTACGACGCCTTGGGTGAGGAGCATGGTCGAGCTACCTTCGGTTGGGTTCTTGAAAAGCCTGGGGCAATCGACCGGACAAGAGTGACCAACATGAAAGGCGTTCTCGACATGCAGAGTAAGACGCTCTTATGTTTTCCAGAGAATACCACGTTAACACGATTCCCATACAAGGAAATGCAAATATCATGCGAGGCACAATGAAGACGCTCTACGCGCCAATGGCAGTTTCCGACTTGGATCGTGTCACAATCGCGCGAGCGATTGCAGTCTATGACAACATAGCGAAGCTAGACCAGACTATTCACGACATGTCTTCAGTCATCTTCGAGTTCTTGTTGCTTGTAGGTTCTCATTCCATCTCGTCATTGTCCTCCTACTGATAAGTCGACTTACAGCGACCCCCAATTGGCGGTACCGCAGAGGTTGCATGGCCTCGATCCAACAACCTGAACCACCTGTTGCTTTTCATCATAAGCTGTCCGGGGAACGGCACAGAGGAGCAGGAGAAAATCATTCGTCAAATCTCCAACGATGCGCCTGGTCAGGTTTTAGGTCCGGAAAGTCGGGCAGAAGTCAACCCTGCTGGCCTCGAGCCATCTTACCACGACGTGAAAGGGGTGAGTAATTTCAGCTGATCTCTGAGTTTCTTGGTTCGAAATATTTTCTCTGATGATTCGATAGGTATACCGGGAGCATTATGAGAAGTTGGTGGAGTTGCGGCGTCTTTACGATCCTAAAAAGCGCTTTCAATCGTTTTTCTAGGTAGCTTCCTCGGGCAATTTCAAGCATTCATGTTGTCTGTGAAGAGAATTGAGTCTTTCTCAAATTGAGTTGATCTTTATTTCGATCTAGGTAGGACTGATGCCCTACTTCGTCCGAGCCTCATGATCGAAATTCGTTCACGTAAGTCCACGAATTGAAATTCCTCATAGTGCGAAGGAGTATTGTGAGGCGCAAGAATTTCTACACGATGAACACATACGGAGTGAGAGCTCTCCGCTGTGAATTACTGAGTAGTGCTCTACTGAATCGCTTCAAGTGTGACATGCAGAGTCGAGTCAGGGGTGGGGACGGGCTTTTGACTCGCACCCTCGGCTCACGACTTTGTAGATGTTAACTCCCCAGTGGCGCCACGAACCCCGAGGAGCGAAATGATGTTGGTTTCGTTGCATAAATATGACTGATGATACGCAGCGTTTTGACTTGGAACACTGAGCCAAGCATCATTCTCAAAAGAATCGGAACCGCATCTCCTTTCAAACGACAACTTTTAAAATGACTTCAACGTTCGCGCTTAGACCCCAGCCCTAACCAGACATGGACAAATTCTCACCAATCATGTAGACCCGAACAGCAATTTGCGGAACTCGCCAAGATCGAGGGCCATGTAGAGGAGGCCACTATCGCAAGCGTCTACGACCAGCTGAAGCCTGTCGCTCCAGAGCTACTCGTTGGCCAGTGGGAAGGAGGCAGTTTCGATACTGGACATCCCACGCATTTGCAGCTTCGCAACTTCAAATGGGCGGGTAAAGACTTCCGGTCCGTCGATGATGTAGATCCAATCATGCGATACGAAGAAGATGGCAAACGAACGTGGTTTTCTGACTACGGCCACGCGCGGGTGAGTGCATCTAGATTGGGCAATTACTTGCTATCGAAGATATAGCTAAGAGAGATATTAGGTTCGAGAGGTTAAGTTCAGGGGTGTTCTGACTGCGGCAATGGTTTATGACAAGTTCCCCATCATTGACGCATTCCGTTATGTGGATGAAAACACTGTGATCGGTGCTATGGACAACAAGGAACTTCAGCACTCTGGGACATACTACTTTTACCTGAGAAGAAGAACCCAGAGCAAGGCCTAGCTAATTAGACTATAAACCTACTTTATGTAGATCATCCTTTAGTCCGGGGCCCCGCAGACGATCCCCTGAGTACAAATACCACCATAGACCTGGTGCGTGAGGGAGTTCGTGGCTACTCGATCGTTCTAGTGAAATTAGTGGCTGGTTGTTTAATTAGTTTCAAAAAGGAAACCGTCTCGTACCGCGTGCTACCGAGGATCCGAGGTCATTTGCCTCGAACATCTTTGTTCCCCCGCATTCTCATCACAACTCGTCGGACAAACCCCACCCACGTCACCCCGAACCCACCATTTCATGCGACTTCTTCGTCTGCTGAGTAACAGGCGAACTTCAATTTGTCGCATACTCACTGCATGACACTCAGCTTCAATACTCAGAAACAGGTAGAAATGACTAGCACGCCTACAACTTCTTGCACACAAGATACGGCTGCTCGATCACCCGGGCGGACTTCACAGACTGCCGCAACATCTCAGAGGCTCAAGAAGAGAGAATACGATCGCAAAGCCCAAAGAGTTGCCCGAGAAAAGACGAAGAACCGAATAGCTCAGCTCGAGAGCTTGGTCGCGAAGTTGAGCCAGCAAGATGACACCGCTACTACAGCATCGCTCATGGCAGAGTTGTCAAGGGTGACTGAACAGAGGAACAAACTCATGAGATGTCTCAAAACGACTTCTTCTTTGTTCAACGATCATGTCAAAGAGGCTGAATCATGGGGCTCAACGGGCATGATTTGCGACGTGGCTTCTCTGTCGAAGCCGCCATCAGCTAAAGAGGTTTCGCCGAAACATCCGAGCCCGGAATCATCAACGTCTCCAACATATTCATCAGTCCCTGTCTTCGATAGCTCCGCCGATGAGGTCCCGGAGAAAGAAATGGGGGATGACATGGACAGTTTCATGGACGAATCTTCTCTTGATATCAACCAAATTTTGGGTGACTCAATGTTCCAGCCAGACTTCACAACACCCGCACCATCGAAAAACATGAGTGAGCCACATATGAGAGGCGTATCACTCGACACATCCACATCAAGGAAAAATCAGCAATTCACAACAGAAACTCGCCGAACTGCATCCAAATGTCACTGCTCGTCAACCAACAGACTTCGACGACTCTCGGATGGTTCACAGGTCAGTTGCAATAACTGGAAAGCGGGTAACGAAATTCTTCAAGAGCCATTTGCTCTCCCCGACGCTTCAATACGAATGGAAGGAGAGACAGTCGAGGATGTTCCTGTCCACGCTGTGCTTCATGGCTGGGATAGCTTGGCGCACACAGGCAGGATGACGCCTTTATGGAGAAAGGTTCGCCAACTCGATGAACTTTGTTTCTCAGCATGTGGACAAGCGGAACGTTTGGCCGTTTTGTTCATAATCCATCTTCTCATGAGGGCATATGCCGATCCGACATTGGTGAAGTCTGCAGTCATCCCAATGTGGTATCTGAAATCGTAAGTGCAATGCGTATTGTTGAGTCCTCAATGTGGCCATGGGCTAAACCTATGAAGGCCTCTGCAGGAAATTACTCATGATCCATCAGCTGATTACTTTGCCTGGTAAGTTGGGTCGATTCTTAGCAAAGGGCATGATGCTGACTTATAGATGCAGGCCAGCCTTAAGGTACCGGTTTGCCATTGCGCCACACCGGTACTGTAGCAATTTGTTCTGGCACATGTTCAAAGAACATTTGCGAATAGTGTGGCCGTACGACTTTCGAGACTGCTATATCAGGAACATGCAACTGGGAACATACGGTCTCTCGCCTCTCTTCAAAGAGAAGATCCACGACTTGCGATCTTGGACAATGGCACCAGATTTCTTTGCCCAATTTCCCGAGTTAATGCAGGATATACCAAAGTTTCCAGGCCAACCGTCGCCAGCAGTCGCTCTACCATTCGGCTTGACGCTTTCGCGCGATGTGGACGGCTCGAAGGCGGCAAGAGATGATGACGAAGAGAGAAGCAACTCGCCCAGAACCGAGAGCAGCACGAGGGACCATATCTTATTTCCCTCATCTTCTCATGTAAGCGGCTTGTTTTTGAGCGAGCTTGGCATCGACGGCGTGACGGATTGCTTCGACTTCTGATGTTTCGGGTATCTATGTACGCCTCTGGTATCTTCGGGACCTTTGCGATTGGGGCAGCACAGTGGCGCAGCAAGTACGCGTCTGTACAGTCCCTAGCTTGATAGAGCAGATATCTACGGAAATGAATCGCTCTAAGTCAGTACCCAAATATCCTGATAGTTCATTTTTCGCTGCCGTACAGATAGACTACAGAGTGATGGATCGCGCTAGCAAGGGTGGCCCTGCAACCCCAGCACCTCCGCGGGCCCCCGAGTCTCCACCAGATCCGAGTGTACGATGAGTACGACTCCGTCGCACAATGAGACGAAACTTTAAATCACAGGTCAAGCCTCACAACGGGGCAAATTCTGCCGTACAAAGCCCCTGAAATGCAGCCTCGCAGTTTTCGTCATTCTGGGAACGGCCGGGAGAGCCTCCGCTGAAAAGGACTGCCGACGGCTCCGTGGAGGAGGTTGTCACATTCACTACTACCTCAGAGACTTTATGAGGGAAGCCTCGTCTGCTTTTTCTCTGTCGTCGAACCACTGTCAGGCCATGTATTCAGGCATGATGTTGCTTAGCATACTTCTCTTTGGCATCGGACTTGCAGATGCTAGGTCATCTTCAGATGGCACCTCCGAGGACCCAGACCTGACCCGAAGCGTACAACTGCAGCATCGGCAAATCAACGACACGATAGTTCCCATACGGCGAGACTGCCCCTTTAGTCCCTGGGATGAACTTTATATAACCGACTTCCTGCAAGAGCATTTTAACGACTTATCAACGACTGATCACTGCTGGATCATCAAGGGTGTAGCAGGACTACACGAACTACTACAGAGAAACATCTCAGCTAACCCCATGCTCAACGTCACGATACCGACTTGTATACAACTCAACGTTACGTCAAAAGGCAACGCCTTCTCTATTGACTTCTCAGATGACTCTTACAAGGTTAATGGGGTCGACGAGGATGACTTTGTGTTATTGACCTATGTGCATCGTGGGTTGCCTCATTTCACCCCCTGAAGTCTATTATACCATGTATCTGACAGGCTCTAGTTGTATGCATGACTGCGGCGTTTTTCCTCTGTTATCCCGTCATTCTGGTACTGGCTTCAGCGCCCAACTTATGCATCATGATCGATCGCGCACTTCAGGAGCCCACGAAACGAAAGTTGGAACGATGGCAGACAATCTTCACTGTCCTCCTCTTCGCTCCCCTGTCCATCGCGGGACTAGTCGCCGGCATAATCGCAATGGGAACCTCTGACCACGCAAGAACAGAGCACGGAGTAAGCTACCCCTCCTTGAACGCTTGCAAGTCAGAAGCTGACCCTGATCCTTTTCTAGATCATCGGTTACATTACCATCGGCCTGGCCGCAATATCAGTTCCCCTCTACCTCTACCAAAAGAGACTCAGCTCCCGCTCAGATCTCACCTTCTACATGTACCGCCGCCTCAAATTCTTCAACGCCCTCGACTTCCTCGTCTGCCAAGCCATCCTGCTCATCTCGGGCTTCGCCCTTCCCGACGGCATCGATGACTTCGGCATCATGACGATTTGCGGAACGAATACGCTCTCTTCGTCGCTCCTATTCTCTCTGGGCATGATTGTTTCGTTTGTGTGGAACTGCGCCATGGCTACGATGACGGTGCAGTGGCTTCTCGAGCGGAGGGTTCGGGGTGGGAGTCTTCGGGATAGGGCCCCGCCGTGGATGCTCAAGATTCTGCGGAAACGGTCGGATTCAAATATGACTTTCCAGACGTTTCAAGAATCTCGTTGAGAATGGTATACCATTAGCATCTTATGCTTATGGAGGGTGGTTCGGACAGTGGCGACCACGTTAGAACAGCTATAGATCATCTTTGCTTTACATTATCTCAGTGAGAGGATTGTCATTATCCGCCCTGTAGATAGACACTAGCTTGTCCATGGCCGATGAATGAAGAGAGCTGCATGTGCGGCAAGACTCTATTCAATTTCTCGTACGAAGGGATTGGGCCTTCATCTCATGTCTGAAGGTTTCTACCAGTTGAAGTACTTGGAACCCGGCACCGGGGCGCGATCCAGCTTGAAGTACCCAGGCTGCAGTTTCTGGAACACCTCCTTGGGATCATACTTCTTCGCGATGCTCTTGAGCTTAGCCTTATTATCCGCACCGTATCCACTGACAACATCCTGGAACTGTGCGGCGTAATTCATGTAGATGTAGTCGTTCTCCAGCCCCCGCGCCTTGGCTTCATCGTTGATTCTTTGCATAACTGTTGAGGCAAAAGAGTAAATCTTGTCGTCGTCCTCTTCGTTACTCCACATTATGGAGAGGAGAATGATGTAGAACGGGCCGTCTTCGACATTGAGACCCAGTGCATTGCCCCCGTTCTGCTGCATGTGCTTCAACATCGGAATGGTGATTCCCTGGAGCACCAAAGTGGGAAGAATGCCAGGCAGGTCCGTCACGGCAAGAACCTCCTCAAAGTAGATTTCCTGAGCGGCATCAACAAGTCCCTTGTCGGCCTTGCTGCTAATGACGGAATAAATCTCCCGCGGTCCCGGCGGTGAACCCTGAGCTCCTTCCGCAGCCCAGTCAGCAATTATGCGGTTCTGCGTCGTGTCCGAAATGGCGGGAATAGCGTTCCATTCGGAAAAGATGTCGGCCTCGCCGCCATCCGGCTCGGCATAATACAGCGTCGGGAGGGAGAGTTTGGTGCCGTTGAAGTAGGCGTATACGTGCCACAAGCCAGCCTTCGGGTCCTCTTCCGCGTTCGCAATAAAGTTGGCGTAAGCCTCAGAGAGCGCAGGGAACGAGTCTTGGAGATAGGTACGGGAACCACCCCACATCTTACCGCCTGGGAGCGAGATGGTCCGGAGGTTGAAGCTGACTACGAGGCCAAAGTTGTTGCCGCCGCCACGTAGGGCCCAGTACAGGTCCGGGAACTGGTTGGCTGATGCTCGGATGATAGCACCGGTAGCAGTGACGACCTGTTAAAATCAGCTAGTGCTCAGAGTCTCTCCCCAGTGAACTTACATCGTAGCTCTCGACATTATCACAAGCCCAGCCGTAGAGGTTAGAGAAGTAGGATATGCCACCTATGATTGCATTAGCTCATGGCGTTCTACGATCGACGCGTTGTGCCAAGTATATGCCTCAAAGAGACCGCGAGAGTCCTTGTTCAAGCTCACAAAAGATGCATGTCCCGGCTTGGAGTGTCTTGATCGGGAACGTACCTCCAGTAGTCAGTCCACCAACACCGATGTCGTATATCCGACCACCGATGACATTCAAGTCAGACTTTGTGAGCTCGCGGTAGACGTCGCCCCAGATATTGCCAGGTTGGATCGAAGCAATCTTCTTGTCAGCAGACAGCGCGATGCTCTTCATGTTCTGGAATGAGATCGTGATCCCGTCCTGAGAGTTGGACGCACCAGCCATTGCGGCGTGGCCACCGCTTTTGGCAGCGAATGGGCACTGCGTGAGACGGGACAGTAGAACCACGACAGATACTTGCTCTGGCTTCGACGGCTTGAAGACACAATAAGGGCTGACCTGGGCTTGGTTCCCAGACCAGTATGAGCTGACGAACTCAGTGTATGCAGGTTCATTTCTCGTTTCGACAGCATCATCGCCATAGACAAATTTCAAAGTGCCACACTACAACAGAGAACCAAACGTCAGTCACCTTGGAAGTGGCGTTGCGGAGGGTAGACGACTCACCGCAGCGGAGCAGCCTATTTCCGACCTCTTGTTGAAGCCGGTCAGGTTTGGAATCTCAGAAACGACAATGCCTAGCCCATGAAGTGCGTCTACAACATTGAAGTTGGCAGGCTCCGTCGAGCTGATGTCAGCTGCGAGGGCGTGAACAACGTGGCCAGCTGCGAAGGCAGCCGCCGCAAAAAGCCTAGGACTTAACATAACTTCGTTCAAACGTCGCCTCGATGACTTGGAGACAAATTTCAGCGCGAACCGGGGATATCGATGGTACGAAACACAGTTATGATTTTATTGAACGGGTCAAGCTGCGACTTTATAACCGGTTCGCGGTCAAGCCGTGAGCAGCATGCAGGCAGCTCGTGCTGACTGCAGAATTATAATCTGCAATCTCACCGCATGTACGATACTGGCGAACCCCCATTCCTCGCTGCAAGGGACGCCTGCAGAAGTCCCATGGCCCTATCAAATTCAGCCTTGACCGAGAGTAAGCAGCCACGGAGGAGTCATTAAGGCATTGCTTAACGGCTGGGCGCTGATGTTGTCGTTCAGTTGATTGAGAATGGCAGAATATCAGGCTGCAAGGCGCCATACGTAAGCAATAAAATGAACCATGTTTGGTGATATGTTCCTTCGCGTGTTATTGCCTGTCGTGCGCAACGAATCGTATCGTTGTCGTTGGTGGGTGGTCGAATCTTCGGAGGTGCTTCTCAACAGGTTACAGAGTATCCCTACCTCGGCTAACAGATGCAGAGCCAAGATACATGGGGGCCCTTTTCGCTATTACCCATGTCGCTGCAGGTGTGATCGTGAAGAAACAGAAGCCCGAAAGCATCCAGTTGATAAAGCAGAGAAAATGCGACTGTTGTTATCGCTGACACTGGTCAGAGTTACGCTAGCAGAAACTTGCCTCCATTCTTGCGGATGAAATACAACTTGCATCAGCGGCCAACCATCCATAAGAGGGATTTGGGGCGTGCGAGAAGCAAGAAGTCCAATCCTATTGATGCGCCAATTTTGTCAAGCACGAGGCTGACGAGGATGTACGTGAGACCTCGCGTTTGTGTCGCTTGACACCCTTGTATGAAATCGATGGGCTGTCACGGATCCTCAGTCACTGAACTAAGCCCATATGAAGAAGTCATGCGAGCGTGTAGCAGAGCTGGGAGGAAGTCTCGATAGTTCATAGATACAATGAAAGTAGCTAGTTCTTTCGACTCTGCGAGCATTTAGCATTCAAGCATATACATGAAGGTATCTGCTTACGAGACCGATGGAGCGTGACTGTGGGATATGACACACATAATGAGTTACGGCTGACCGTCTGCCAGAACTCTGTCCGCATCACTGAAGAATGAAGAAGCCAGCATATTCTGCTCGACATCTTTCGAGCATCTATGGTGTCATTGATGGATGGCCAAAGGCATCGATAACCCCCGTCGTCCAGCTGGGGGAGTAGCATAGCACTGCGATCTCGCTTGGGATAGAACGGTGATTTTCGGGTGGTGAAAAAGGGTGTTTGTTATTTCGCTTGTGTGAAGTTGGCAGCACACACGATCATTCTGTGGCTTTTATCAATAGAGACTGGCCGAGAAGTACCGTCGGCTCAGTGACGTGATGTTCCTCTGTTTGAGGACGACAAGCCATCCGACATCAGTCGTCGGAGATGTCGAAGCGGCATGCCATCCCTTCGCCGGACCGAATATCGGAGGATCGATTGAACAGATAAACTCCAATCATAACTAGGACCTCTTCATAACCTCACCTGGAACAGAGCCGGTAGATGTCTGGAGCAAGCCAATAGCGGTGCGAGAATCCGGGGGAGGCGTTGAAATTGGGATCGCACTAAGGCATTCCAGCCTTCGTGGCGACCACCCGTGCGAAGCCTCAACGTTGAACCGTCCCGACTCATTGGCAGCTGTCAGACGCGTCTCTTGTGACATGGAGGATGCATCGTCTGAAAACCATGGAATGGATCCCGCGTGATGCGCCCTGCCCAACCTTTCCTGGCTACTTGGCCCCCCTTCAACTTCACACAAGGTGACGTTGGCGGTCAACATTGGGCGGGTCATGAGGCCAAGCATTGCCAGACGTGGCGGCGTAGTCGCACGGGACAGGGAGCTGTCTAGATGGTGATTGGCGTGGTGTTGAGGGCGGGATGGCGGAAGTTGTCAACGCGGTTGGGGTAGCGTGTCTCGCTTTAGGGAAGAATGTCTCGATGGCGCTTCTAGGCTTATTAGGTTATTAGGTTGTCTTTGCCCAAAAACCGAAGTGGTGATCCGGCCAAGTGCCAGGTGACGCCATGCTGGACCCAGATCCAGCCAGGACAGTTCACTATGCATGGAGGCGCAGAAACTATGGGGAGCTTCCCCGCCCTGGGCCGGGGCTAGTTGCTTGAACGGTGAGCTTTTGATCTCGTGAAGGGCTGAGGGTGGTCAGTGAAGATGGTGGAACATTGAATATGTCGACGACGGTCTAAATAGAGGCTCGATTCTTGAGGCTTGTGGTCGAAGGAGTGCCCAAGCAATTCGACTGTGTCTCGGTGTATGCATCGACTAGGAACCAAGATAGCTTTCCCAGCAGCTTCCCCGGATCATCAGTGACGGCAGCCAGGTTGCAGAGACAGGAACAAGAGAAAAAAGGGGGCCGAAAACAGAGATGATCCCTGTCATCGCATCGCTGATCGTCTGTTTACAGTGCCTCTTGTAGTGCTGATTTGGGTGCCGTGGACCCATCTGGATTGCGTGCGAGTTGGGCCTCAGCGCGGGTTCCTCCACTGCAAGCGTGACCGATGCGTCGTTGATCTGCAAGCCGGGCAAAAGACTCCAGCAATCGTCCATCCCGCAGGCTGGGCATCTGGGCATCTAGGCACAAGCGGGAAAGGGCGTCGTGGCAGAGACTCCGAGAGGTAAACGGGCGGGCTTGGACGGCACGGCGGCACGCTCGGGCGGTTGAGCGGGTTAGAATCGGACTGAAGACCAAGGGACTCCGACCGATATTGGGCGGCTCTGCATCTCTCGGTGCATCAGAAATCGCAATAACGAGGATCCGGGCAAACGAACTGGGATAGCAGCTGCTGAAGGGCGTGGGAAGCTTTGGGGTCTGGTGGTTCGAGTGTTTCCTCTCGCATCGACTTGCCCAGTAGAACAGGGTGGATGCCTTCACGGCAACAAGCTTGAGGTACGTGTTTCTGATTTTCTAGGTGTCTCTGAGGTGTATCGCAGTGTATCGTGGCGTATCGCATGGTTGGGGAGGGCGGCATTTGCAGGCAATCCCGCAACTGTCATCGGGGAGAGTTTGAGAGTTGTGAAAGGTGAGGCGAGGCGAGGGACGGTTGACGAATGGGAGGCCGTGGAAGCTGAAGCTCTGCCCAAGTTTTTTGCTCATGCTAACCGAGGAAGGGGGGGCGCCGACCAGACATCGAGACGTGGTTTCAAACAAGTCACCAATACTTGGGTTTGGTGCTGTCGCGATATGGAGATCCGAGTATTCGTTCCTTGTTCCAGGTCACTTGCTGTTGTGTTGTGAGGTGGTCTCTACCTTACTTCCTACCTTATGGTACCTCACAGGCTCACAGATAGTGTAGAGTCTACATATAAACTGATAATAACCCCCCCTAGTTAAGGTAAGAGTCCCGTATATAATAGTAAGTACTTAGATATTAGTAGATCCTGGCTAAATTTAACTAATCAGACTTCGTTTTTTTTTTTTAAGGTACTTAGGCTAGAAATATTTTAGAAATAAATTATAGCTAATTAGGGTACTATTACCTAATTAAAGTCCGCTCTATAAAAAATAATTCTAACTTATACTTTTCTTTTACTCTAGCTAAGTCGCATCCTTTTTTTTAAACTTTTACGTCCCTTTTTTTAAACTTTTACCCTTCGTTACAACTTTTACTAAAAATTTTTATTATAAAACTTACTATTATACTTAAAATTTATTAATAATTAATTAGAAATATTTCTAAATTAATTTTACAATACTTTCTCGCTACTACGATAGTAATAGCTTTAAATTTTATATTAATAATAAAAGGGGCCGGCCTTAGAATTTCTCTATATTCAAAACTAATAATATAAGTTTTATCCCTATTATTATAATTAAATACGTAATTTATTTACTTATTTTTATAATAATAAAGTTAAGTAATCTTATTACTAAGAGAACTTTATTATTGTTATTTAAAAGTTAATAGCCTTTATTTTAATAGTTACTACTAGTCGTTTTTTAATATACTTAAAAAGTACTTCGAAGAGGGTTATTATATTAATTCTATAATTTCTTATAAAGGATCCTTTTTAATTACTATTAACCTCAAGGTTATCTATAAGTTACTTTTTATTTTATATTAATATTTTTAGCCTTATTAATAGTTTTTTATAGGATATTATACTAAAATAATATTACTTATAAAGGGCTAAGATATACCCCTAGATACCCCCCAAAAGCTTAAGGCTATTATAAATAATAAAGCGTTATTTACTATCCTTTTTAAAAAAGACGGTACTATAAGTAGAAATATTTTTAAAATATTTTTAGTTTATAAGATTAATTATTTTTAGTAGGACGTTACTTAGATAAAAATAAATATTAAGTTCGGCCCCGAAGAGAGCTATAAGGTCTATAAATCGTAGGACGCTATTAGCCGTAATAAGTATAACTTATTTTTTAATTAACGCTTTTCTTAACTAGATTTTATAACTTACTCTTTTTTTAATAAGTACGAGCCGATTTATTTAGTATTTTATAAGTACCGTTACCCTAAGCTCGCGCTAAATAAGAATATTTTTAATAAGTTACTTTATTAATACTTATATATTGTTATACTTAATATTAATTATTTTTAGAAATTTTTAAAACCCCTAAGTAAATAGGTTAGAATAATAAGGTAGTTAAAAATAAGCCGGTCTAGCTTACTCTTATTAATAATTCTAATAATAATAAAACGGATTTTTAAATAAACCCCGCTATTTTTACTTAAATCTTTATTAAGGATATAAATAAGTAAAAAGTATAATTAAGGGTTAAGGAATAATAGGGAATAATTAGTTTAGGGAAGTTTATAAATAAAGAGTTTATTAAAATAGAAGTATTTTACTTACCTCTTTAAAATAGTACTATATAAATTAAGAATACCGTAATATTATAAATAAATATTCGTAATAAATATATAAATAGAGGTTAAGGTTATAAATACTAAG